AAATTGACCACAAAATCGGAAGTAAATCACTCCTCAGCAAATGCAAAACAACAGAAATCATAACAAAACCAGTCTCTCATACCACAGTGCAATCAAGTTAGAACTCAGAATTCAGAAACTAACTGAGAACTGCACAGCTTCATGGAAACTGAAAAACTGGCTCTTGAGTGTTGACTGGATAAACAATGAAATGGAGGCAGAAATAAAGATGTTCTTCAAAAACATCGAGAACGAAGACAGGACATACCAGAATCTCTGAGACACATTTAAAGCAGTGTCTAGAGGAAAAGATATAGCAATAAATGCCCATATGAGAAGCAAGGAAAGGTCTAACATTGACACTCTATCATCAAAATTGAAAGAGCTAGAGGAGTGAGATTAAAAAAACTCAAAACCTAGTAGAACACAAGAAATAACTAAGATCAGAGCAGAACTGAAGGAGACAGAAACACAAAAAACCCTTCAAAAAATCAATAAATCCAGGAGCTGGTTTTTTCGAAAAGATCAACAAAATAGACCACTAGCCAGATTAATAAAAAAGCAAAGAGAGAATAATCAAATAGATGCAATAAAAAACGAGAAAGGGGATATCACCACAGATTCCACAGAAATACAAACCATCATCAGAGATTATTACAAACAACTCTATGCACATAAACTAGTAAACCTGGAAGAAATGGATAAATTCCTGGACACTTGCATCCTCCCAAGCCTAAACCAGGAAGAAGTCGAAACCCTGAATAGACCAATAATGAGTTCTGAAGTTGAGGCAGCAATGAAGAGCCTACCACCCAAAAAAAGCCCAGGTCCAGATGGGTTCACAGCTGAATTCTAACAGACATACAAAGAGGAGCTGGTACCATTCCTTCTAAAACTATTCCAAACAATACAAAAAGAGGGAATCCTTCCCAAATCATTTTATGAGACCAACATCATCCTGATACCAAAACCTGGCAGAGACTCAGCAAGAAAAGAAAACTTCAGGCCAATATCCATGATGAACACAGATGAAAAAATCTTCAATAAAATACTGGCAAACTGATTGCAACAGCACATCAAAAAGCTTATCCATCATGATCAAGTAGGCTTCATCCTGGGGATGCAAGGCTGGTTCAACATACGCAAGTCTATAAACATAATTAATCACATATACAGAACCAAAGACAAAAACCACATGATTATCTTAATAGACACAGAGAACACTTTCGACAAAATTCAACAGCCCATCATGCTAAAAACTCTCAATAAACTAGCTATTGAGAGTCAATAAACATACCATATAATGAAAAAGCTATGTATGACAAACCTACAGCCAATACCATACTGAATGGGCAAAAGCTGGAAGAATTCCCTTTGAAATCAGGCACTAGACAAGGATGCCCTCTCTCACCACTCCTATTCAACATAGTATTAGAAGTTCTAGCCAGAGCAATCAGGCAAGAAAAAGAAATAAAGCATATTCAATCAGGAAAGGAGGAAGTCAAACTGTCTCTATTTGCAGATGACATGACTGTATATCTAGAAGACCCCATCGTCTCAGCCCAAAATCTTCTCAAACTGATAAGCAACTTCAGCAAAGTCTCAAGATATAAAATCAATGTGCAGAAATCACAAGCATTCCTGTACACCAATAACAAACAGCCAAATCATGAGCAAACTCCCATTCACAATTGCTACAAAGAGAATAAAATACTTAGGAATACAACTAACAAAGGATGTAAAGGACCTCTTTAAGGAAAACTACAGACCACTGCTCAAGGAAATAAGAGAGGACACAAACAGAGGGAAAAACATTCCATGCCCATGGTTGGGAAGAATCGATATTGTGAAAATGGCCATACTACCCAAAGTAATTTATGGATTCAACACTATCCCTATCAAGCTGCCATTGACCTTCTTCACAGAACTGGAAAAAAACCATCTTAAACTTCATATGGAACCAAAAGACAGCCTGCATAGCCAAGACTAATCCTAAGCAAAAAGAACAGAGCTGGAGGCATCATGCTATCTGACTTCAAACTATACTATGAGGCCACAGTAATAAAAATAGCATGGTATTGGTACCAAAACAGACATATAGACCAAAGGAACAGAACAGAGGCCTCAAAGGCAACACCACACATCAACAACCATCTGATCTTTGACAAACCTGACAAAAATAAGCAATGGGGAAAGGATTCCCTGTTTAATAAATGGTGTTGGGAAAACTGGCTACCCTTGTGCAAAAAGCAGAAACTGGACCTCTTCCTGACACCTTACATTAAACTTAACTCCAGATGGATTAAAGACTTAGACATAAAACCTAACACCATAAGAACTCTAGAAGAAAACCTAGGCAATACCATTCAGGACATAGGCATAGGTAAGGACTTCATGACTAAAACACCAAAAGCACTGGCAACAAAAGCCAAAATAGACAAATGGGATCTAATCAAACCCCAGAGCTTCTGCGCAGCAAAAGAAACAATCATTAGAGTGAACTGGCAACCAATAGAATGGGAAAAATGTTTGTGATCTACCCATCTGACAAAGGGCTAATATCTAGAATCTACAAAGAACTAAAACAGATTTTCAAGAAAAAAACAAACAGACCCATTCAAAAGTAGGCAAAGGATATGAACAGACACTTTTCAAAAGAAGACATTTATGAGGCCAACAAACATATGAATAAATGTTCATCGTCACTGGTCATTAGAGAAATGCAAATCAAAACCACATTGAGACACATTCTCACACCAGTTAGAATGGCGATCATTAAAAAATCTGGAGAAAACAGATGAGGGAGAGGATGTGGAGAAATGGGAACACTTTTACACTGTTGGTGGGAGTATAAATGAGTTCAACCATTGTGGAAGACAGTGTGGCAATTCCTCAAAGACCTAGAAACAGAAATTCCATTTGACCCAGCAATCCCATTTCTGGGTAAATATCCAAAGGATTATAAATCGTTCTATTATAAGGACACATGCACACGTATATTCACAGTGGCACTGTTTACAATAGCAAAGACCTGGAACCAGCCCAAATGCCCATCAATGTTAGAATCGACAGGGAAAATGTGGCACATATACACCATGGAATACTATGCAGCCATACAAAACGATGAGTTTGTGTCCTTTGTAGGGACATGGATGAATCGGGAAACCATCATTCTTAGCAAACCGACACAAGAACAGAAAATCAAATACTGTATGTTCTCACTCATAGGCGGGTGTTGAACAATGAGAACACATGGACACACACACACACTGGGGTCTGTTGTGGAGGAATAGGGGAGGGACAGCGGGGGGTAGGGAGGTTAAGGAGGGATAACATAGGGAGAAATGCCAGTTATAGGTGACGGGGGATGGAGGCAGCGAACCACATTGCCATGTACGTACCAATACAACAATCCTGCATGTTCTGCACATGTACCCCAGAACTTAAAGTCCAATTACATATATATATATTTAAACAATTGCTGTATACCAAAGTTCAGATAAAGGAGCTTGGGAAAGATTCTATGCTTGTGGAAAATGTTTCAAATTCCTGGTGTTAAAGAGGACACACATAGTTTTCTCTCATGAATGAGAAAACACTTCAATATCAGCCCTAAAGACTCCATAGCAACTTACACACATTTTCAACCATATGGATCTTTTCTTCTGTTATAAACTATATTTAGCATATATAAAACTTTCGTATTGAAAAGACAAGTCTTTTCAGGATTTTTTTTTCAGAGAATATAAAAATTTTAGAAAACAAGTGCACTAATGAAATGCATTTAAAAATTTATGTATTAACAATTAAAATAAAAGTCTATTTGCTTTGAGCAAAATGATAATGTTCCTAAATTAATTGATTTTGTATTTTGTCATAACCAAATTGGGCAGATGCCTCTCTCTTCTGCAATGTGATATAGCTTCTGGAGAAAAATTAAAATTTTAAGGCTAAATATTAAACAATTTGAAAATTCATATATCACATTAATTTGGTCATCTGGAATTTTATTAATGAAGATATGCAAAAGTATCGTTAGCTGTAGGAATTTTTAAAAGATGATCATAAATTCAAAGATCCACAATAATTCACCAAATAATAATTTTCAAATTCTTAAGCCATATAGTTTATGAACTTACTCAGAAATATACATCAGAGTTTTATATAAAAGCACAGCTAATGATAATTTTAGAAATAATCCTATTTTTACTTTGATTTTTCTTCACTGGTAGAAAATTACAACCACAAAAAAAGTTTATTATATCACAACAATTTCTTGCCTTTTTTCCTTTACCTTTTGAATAAAATAAAGATTTTCAAATCACCTTTTATTTGTATACGTCCTTATAGAAAAAATAGTAGTTTTAAAAAATAGCTATAGTTAAAATGCTATACCTTTCTAATTAATTACAATACAGAATTTTATAATTATAGTATTTCATAGTTGTTCATTATTAGAATTGACTGACTAAAATATTACAACTTTAAAATTTCCAATTTTAGTTACGGCAAATATCAACACATTTTTAATAATTCTTTTTACTTAATAATGCCTTGGCTTTGGAAAATACAATGGATTAAAACTCATACTTTTCTGTTATGTATATAACTAAACGTACATATGTATAACTGAGTATATGTGCTTTTATATGTGTATCTATAATAAGCAGATAAAGCTTATATGTGTGTAAGTATATATATACTCAGTTATATATACATATATACATATATATATTTACACAATTTCACAAATACTGTTCGTCATATGCAATCAAGATAAATTAAACTCACATTTGAAATATTTTGGCTTACAATGCCAATATCTTTAACAATTTAATAGGAAAGAAAATACTTCTATGACTATACTTAATAGAAAAAAATGCATGAGAGAAATGTACACTGTAAAATTGCATTACATTTATTTTCAAGTTTGCAGTGAAATTTAACCAAATAGAAAAAATCTTAGAAAATTAAACATATTAAAAGACTTAAACCAAACAAAAATTTTAAATGTCACTAACCCAAAGCATGCACTGCTCTTCTATGCTTGCTGGAGCTCTTGCTTGTTTTAACCACACGGACAGCATTTTCTCTGTACTGCAGCTCACAAAAATTTTCAAGAAATTTTGCCATTTCTTCTGTAACAGTATCCAGGTAAGTTTCTTTAATGAAGTTCACTGTTGAGGACGGAGCTAAAATTTCACATAGTGTGTTAAAATCCTCTTTTATTATTGAGTATAACTTAAGCATTATACTTTGATATCCATGAACTATTATATCTAAATTTGAATCTCTGTTGTAAGAGGGAACGCAGTTCTGCAGAAGATTAGCCAACAGTTTTTTCTGTATGTTTTGGTATTTGATTATAACTTCGGATTCTGGGTAAAGAAACAAGAATTGTTGTAAGCACTGCTTTTTCAATAAAATTTTTTGCTGTGAATTGTTTATTTCATTATGGCTTTGTAATTTGCTCACTAAGAAGCGTCGAAGATGCAGTCTTATATCATCCCATATAGACTTGACATCCATAGAGGAATTATCTTCAACAGAATGAAGAGATGTCCTAGAGAGGAAATGGAAAGATGTTCCACTTAGAGTCGATGGGAATGAAACGCTGCTGTGGCAGGAGAGGTCCCAAAGTAAATCCAATATCATTTCTTCTTGATTTTGTTCATTCTTCAACAAATTTTCCTAATGAAATTAGAACATTAGAAATGTGATTAAGTGTAACAGAAAAAAATGATTTCTAGAGTCATATACAATTTCATAATAATTTCAGTTTGGAATCAGTACTCTGAAATTCCTCAAGATTTTATTTTTTTGCATTTGAAATTTAATCAGTTCAGACATTTTAGAATGCTAGCTTTTATGGTCTATTAAACTTTGAATTGTTTATTTCAAACCTAGTTGATTATCTTTTCAGTTAGATTTCCAGACATATAGTTTTTAGTCCTCATTGTTTTCCACCCAATATACCCTGAGCTGTATAAAAACTATGGCTTAAAAATTCTAAATACAAATCTATAGCAAAATATTGATTGAAATGTATTCCTAAGACAAAATAAATTCAGGATCATGCCCCTAATTCCTGGTAGACAATTTTCATGCTTGAATGAGTATAATTATTATAAAACCCCAAATGAACATATAATACAATGTTTTAAAATCATTCTAGAATATAGATCTTTAAATACAGTATGTGCCTGGGGGTTACTAAGAGGCACCATTCTGAGAAGTAAATTTTAATACATTGAAAGATTTTAACTTTCATTTAAATTCCTTTTTGAGAACAGTGTTAAGAAAGATTTTACTTTGAAAATAAATCTGAGAATATTTCAAATGTCTCCAAAGAAATAACCCAAAATGAGAAAAAGATACTCTCAGAATTGTTCCCCAAAAGATGATATGAAATTATTCCTTTATACTTTCTGTGCTGGCAGAAAACAATAGTAGGTATCATTATGAACAGGGACAAAAACATTACTTTTTTCTTGAACTTTGAATTAGACACACACATTCTCCTTCCAAGCTGACTCTCCTAATTATGTCTATTTCAGCTAATACTGAAATTAGTTTATATTCTCTAGGTAGAAACAAGCTGATTACAAGAGAAATGAAAGCAAGGTACAAGCGGCATATAATCAGGTTGGCTTTGCAATTTCGTATTGACAAAATACCAAAGGTATTATGTGTGATTCAGAATTACAAACAATTCCTAGGCAAATTTCAGGAATTTTCTCTCATTCATTGTAAGCATTGCAGGGTCTAATGTTCTAACTGTAATAAATAATTATACCCAATAATTATATCAGTAAATGCTTTTTAAGTATTTATACAAACATTTCCCTGTTTCTTCATAACAATAACTCTTTGGTATATGTATTTAAAAACCCAATTTATATATAAGGATTCAAAAATGAGGCATGCTTCAGTGACTTTTCAAAAGTCACATACAGTAAGGTACAGATTCAAGAATGGATCCCTGGCTTCTTTCTCTTCATCCATGTTCTTTCTGCTACACTCCAGAGAGCCACAAAGTACACACGACCTCTGTATAGCTTCTTTTTCTCTCCTCTCCTGCTGTTGAGTTATTCTGATGCTTTTGGAAAAGAAATGTCCTTAGATAGGACACATTAGCATTACTGTAAATTCTATAAAGCAAATGAGTCATATTAGTGACTCTGCCTTGGTTTTTAAGTCAGGCAATAATGGTAAATATTTGATCAAACAAAGAATAGATTACAGAGGTTTAAAACATATGTTTAGTATGATTGCTTAAATTTTGAAAATAACTTTGGTACATCTGCCATAATGAGGACCTCTGTTTCTTTTTTAAATTGCTAGAAAATTAACAGGAAACTTTCTATGAAAAAAAACAGATGTATGAAAAATGCCATCATGACTGACATTTTTTAGCATGTAGAAACTTGATAATAAGGTCATTTAAATCTGGATCTGTTTTAATAATGTGGTTTCTTCCTTAAAATAACATGATCAATTATGTAAAAAAGACCCTAGGACTGGGACAAGCCTATCAGTCTAATGAAATTGAGCAAAACGAAAGTGGCCTTTGCCCTGCAGTGAATAGAGAATGACTTATGTGTGACAGATTAAAAGATAATTAAAAGCTTTTGCTTTTAATTAAATGAGAAAGCATTATTACATCAGTATTAATGAAATTCAATACACATGGCTCTTAATAGAAATTAAAGGAATAACTATATCCATATTTATTCTTCAAGACTCCACCCTCAAGAGATAATGAGTGAGAAGTTTCCTTAAAAGAATAAGGCTTCAGGGCACATAGTCTTCCTTTCTCTTCCTTTTATTACTTTGTAAACATTAAAGAGACATCTGAAATAATAACAGGCAAAAACTATTTTCATCTGATTCTGTCATCCTAAGCCATCTACAACCCCCAGATATTTTCCACATCTGCCTTAGTCAATGTTTGATGTTTAGACAAAAACAGTACCTTTTTTCCCCCTAAATTAAATTAAAACCATAGCTACAGAAATACTGCTTTCTAACAATTGTGCTGTTTCTCTGGGAATCTGTTTTTGCAAGCTAGCCAGTCTTGGAGATACAAGTGTGATAAAATAACTCTTCTTGTTGAAGGTTACAAAAACTTCTCTGGCATAGAGGGTGGTCAGTATCAAGGATGACCAATATAATAATTCTCCATCATTTGGTGGTCTTGCATAAATTGCTACCTTGATTGAAAAGAACTGGGTAAGACTTGAGGTTAGGAATGCAGGGAATAATAGTAAAGGCCACTTAATAGACACGATCAATGGGGATCTTACTATGCTTAGTAATGAGCACTGAAAAAATGAATGGTTGTGAAGGGATATCAAATATGAAGAATATGAACTTCTCTGGGAGACAACTGTGATACACATCAATACATTTTGTGGTATTGATATATATCTTACCAAAAATCACACAGGAATCATAATATTTAATATCCGTTTATATAAAATTTTATTTTATTGATAAAATTCATAGCTAAATATTAAAACAAACAGCTTGGTGGATTCTATTGGGAATATAGAAACATAAAACGAAAACACAAACCCTGTAGGTATGGCTGCCTAATATGGTCACTCAAATAAATATTTACATATAGAAATTGAATGAGTTGTATTCCCTGTTTACTCATCTCAATCTATGATAAAACAAAGATTCATTTTACCAGTGTTTTGAGGAATTTTGTCAAATCTCCATGTGAAATGAAAGATGACTTGGATGTACTGCAATTATAGTGAGTTAGCCATTCAAAGCAGTCAGCTGGTGTTTGCAGTTGCACACCTGGACATTGTTTGTTAATTTTGGACTGTATCTCTTTAATGCAATGTTCTATGCTATAAAAAAGAGAAGAAAATGTTATTTTGGCAGGATATAGATAATGGCTTCATCTCATAATATGACAGGCCCTGAAATCTTCATATGTGATACCTGGTTTTGCACAATTTACAAATTTCATTCATATGATATGAAAATAATTACAAAGAGACTATACATTCATAGTTGAAAACTGAGTGTTCAAATTTTCTGGCAGTAAAAAATGCGATCGAGGAAATATAAAATAGCTACTCAGAGATGAACTAGAAATTCTTTTGTGTTGAAACAAAAATCAAGCATAGATGCAATTTGATAATAGCCCTCTTGATAGGCAATAGATGAAAGGAAGAGATAAAATACTGAACACTGTAAATATTAGAAATTTACATTATCTACTAAGAGATAAATGACTATATAAATGATGAAAAACTTCAATCAATGGAATAAGAAGTCATCAAGTAGTTATAAAGAGCTTATAATTTTAAAAGTTGTAAAATATACAAGCTGTATATACAATGTTATTAGAGCCAAGTACCTTTTCCTGCCATCCAATTCCACTACGAAAAACAGAAACAAAAATTACTAAAAATTGCATTTAAAAACGACTAGAAGGAAATGAAGCAAAGGGTTAATAGCAATTATATTTTAGTGATATAATTAGGTAAGTTTTAAATTTTGCTCTTCCATAGTTTCTAAGTATGTATAAGGCATAAGATAAAATGGTTCATTTACCAAAAAAAGTAAACCAAGAACAGAGAAAAAAAATGTCCAGTTGAATCTTGCAATAGGTATCTGTTTTAAAGCTTCCATTCAAAATATCCTTAGTGTTGATAAAATAACAGATATACTATGTTATTTTAATTTCCAGATACAATTCTGTGCATTCATGATTATAAATCTTTGTGGGGTAAACTGGTGACCTTTAGCAGAGTGCCATCTGCAGAGCCACATGGATATGACATATTACTACCACCTGATGGCAGCATATCTAAACTTCAAGAAAGCTTTCAAACAGCTAAATTCCTTTGAAGCTGAAACACCTCACCAAAAATTGACAGCTATGCATTTATCTCTTAATCATATTAAGAAAGATTTGCTACTAAGAGGTAAAGTTAATGGTTTGAAAATGTAACTGCTATTAATTAAAGGTTCCATATGATAGAACCTGGTAGACTTTAGAAATCAAGTGCTCCTTATTAAAGTAGATGTCATATGAAAGACTCTTTGAAATTCATCAGGTGTGGGTTGCCTATAAAACATACACTGTAAAAGTTTAAGTAATACTTTTCAGGAGGCTTCTGTGCATGAGTGAATTCAAACTAAATTACCTTGAAACAAATACATTCTGAGAATCAAAGAGCCTTTTCATGAAAACAAAGAACTTAAATGAAAAACAATACCTCCTCGGGCCACAGGCCGCTCAATTTCCTGATGGGATAGCCGTATTCAGGAATACCAGTTTTACCTTTGAGAAGAGATTGGCATGTATTTTCTTAACTTATGTAAGCACTTCTATGGACAGAGAAACACAATGCCTTAAGCATACACCTTGACGCTAGGGATCCTTTATCAAAGGTTTTTATTATAGCATCCTCATGCGTCTCATTCAATGAAACCTAATAGATTACAGCAATGTGAATTGGAAAGGCTCAGAAGTTAGTCTACCTAAATCTGTTTCAATGAGGACTCTGATTATAGGGTAATTTCTAACATCTGAACCTGGGCAGAGGCCAGCAACTACAATTTATAAATAGGGTAAAGCCTTTAGAGGGCTAGATATTTTAGTAATTTGTTCAAACACTGACAAAGGGATTGAGTGGTTGCATTTCACGGGACCTCCCTCATTGATACAAACTAAGACAGATAAACTTTATTTTAAAATCATTTTGTCACAAATTATAAAACATCAGAACCAATTATCTATACCTGATTTTGTTTTTAGTTGGCTATCTTGTTGTCTGCCACTCACCACTGCCTATACATCTTATTCTAAAAACTTAATCCTCTAAAGTCTAGATACTTCTTGTCCAATTGTTATACAAAATAAATATTTTCAAAATTTATAATAAATGTCAGTTTGGTATGTAATCGACAATTCATCTTCTTATTCAAGGTCAGAATAAATTACAATCTAATTTTCACCATTTAAAAGGTAACATTTTCAAAAAAAATAAAAGGTAACATTTTCAACTGTTACCTTTCAAATACTATACATTAGTCAGGATTATAAACATAGGTGGTAAAAATGTAAGGAAATGCACTGGGATCATCAGCAGCACCGTCTGGTAGAGTGGGGATGGAAGTGGTATCAAACTGGGGAGAGGTACACAGAAAGCTTTAGCTATACTAGTAATACTTTATTTCTTAAACTAGATGGTGGGCACTGGAGTATTTATCATAGTACTCAATGCCTTTTCATATGTCTCAACATTTCTTAATAAATTTGAACCCCAATGTGCTTTAATTATAATGACTCTGAATTATCCAAGTTAATGATGTGTGAAAGTGGATGCATTACTGAGAATCTGTGTATAAATCAATTTATAAAGCATTTTAAAAAGGCAATAAGGAGTATGCTTTTAAAAAGATATCTATGGCAATTCTCTCATTCAACATTTACTCCTAGATTCCCTGACTATAAAAATTGCTAATTGATTGAAGGTATTATATTTGATAAATACTAACTGAATGTTAAATATGTGGTAGGCATTGTGATATATACTAGGGAACCCAATGTGAATAAGAAATCGTCTGGTTTGTAAAGGAATTGTGTCTAGTGAAAGAGATAGACTTGTAAATAAACAACTACAGTACAGTAAGTCGTGATAATTAGTTTGTACAATGTGCTAAGGGAGTACACAGAACGGAGCCACTAAAAGTGCCTGTGGGGGGTGTAAAAAGGCTTTTCCTTGTAGAAGAGGAGATTATATGCAAGGATGTTGATTTAAGAATATTAGTAGAATCACTGTACTTAAAATTCCCTAACATCTCACCCCTCAGATTCGGTACTTGTCATCTAACCTCATTGTTGTTTCACTTCAAAACTATATTTATTTGGAGAATAAGAATATGAATTAATTTTTATGGTCACTACTACATTCATGCATGTATCGATGTATGTGTGTATGTATATATGCACCATCTTACTTCCAAAAAGACTGAGATACCACACTATTGGACAGATTGCATTAAATAACAATAGCAGTCCAAGAGCTGATTAATATTGAACTGGTACAGTTGGAGATAGAATGAGAAATTAAAAAACAGAAGAAGATAATTATAACATAAAATCTTGGAACTTCAGCTTATTATAAAAGCTCTTACAAGATTTAAAAACTATTATCTGGTCACAAAATAGTTAAAAGGAAAAAAGTATGTTCCATTGACAAAATTACAAGAACTTTTTAAATAAAAAGACTGTAGAAACACATATATGTGCTTTAATGGAATGTTAAAATATTCCTAATTTTTTTTCTTCAACTTTGTTAGTTTTTTAAAAATTTATGGCTTCTGAATGTTTTTTCAAATTTACACTGCCACCAACAGTGTAAGTGTTCTCTTTCTCCACATCGTCTCCAGCATCTGTTGTCTCCAGATTTTTTAATGATCGCCATTCTAACTGGCATGAGATGGTATCTCAATGTGGTTTTGATTTCCATTTCTCTAATGACCAGTGATGATGAGCATTTTTTCATATGTTTGTTGGCCTCATGTATGTCTTCTTTTGTAAAGTGTCTGTTCATATCCTTCGCCCACTTTTGAATGGGTTTGTTTATTTTTTTCTTGTAAATCTGTTTTAGTTCTTTGTAGATTCTGGATATTAGCCCTTTGTCAGATAGGTAGATTACAAAAAATTTTTTCCCAGTCTGTTTGTTGCCAGTTCACTCTGATGATTGATTCTTTTGCTGTGCAGAAACTCTTAAGTTTAATTAGGTCCCATTTGTCAATTTTGGCTTTTGTTGCCAGTGCTTTTGGTGTTCTAGTCATGAAGTCCTTGCCTATGCCTATGTCCTGAATGGTACTGCCTAGGTTTTCTTCTGGGTTTTTATGGTCTTAGGTCTTATGTTTAAATCTTTAATCCATCTGGAGTTAATTTTAGTGTAAGGTGTCAGGAAGGGGTCCAGTTTCTACCTTCTGCACAAGGCTAGCCAGTTTTCCCAACACCATTTATTAAACAGGTAATCCTTTCCCCATTGCTTGTTTTTGTCAGCTTTGTCAAAGATCAGATGGTTGTTGATGTGTGGTGTTGCCTTTGAGGCCTCTGTTCTGTTCCTTTGGTCTATATGTCTGTTTTGGTACCAGTACCATACTGTTTTGATTACTGTAGCCTCATAGTATAGTTTGAAGCCACGTAGCGTGATGTCTCCAGCTTTGTTCTTTTGCTTAGGATTAGTCTTGGCTCTGCAGGCTGTCTTTTGGTTCCATATGAAGTTTAAGATGTTTTTTTCCAGTTCTGTGAAGAAGGTCAATGGCAGCTTGATAGGGATAGTGTTGAATCCATAAATTACTTTGGGCAGTATGGCCATTTTCACAATATTGATTCTTCCTAACCATGAGCATGGAATGTTTTTCCCTCTGTGTCCTCTCTTATTTCCTTGAGCAGTGGTCGGTAGTTTTCCTTGAAGAGGTCCTTTATATCCTTTGTTAGTTGTATGCCTAGGTATTTTATTCTCTTTGTAGCAATTGTGAATGGCAGTTCACTCATGATTTGGCTGTTTGTCTGGTATTGGTTTATAGGAATGCTTGTGATTTCTGCACATTGATTTTGTATCCCGAGACTTTGCTGAAGTTGCTTATCAGCTTAAGGAGATTTTGGGCTGAGACGATGGAGTCTTCTAAATATACAATCATGTGGTCTGCAAATCGAGACAGTTTGACTTCCTCTTTTCCTAACTGAATACCCTTTATTTCTTTTTCTTGCCTGATTGCTCTAGCTAGAACTTTCAATACTATATTGAATATGAGTGGTGAGAGAGGGCATCCTTTTCTAGTGCCAGATTTCAAAGGGAATGCTTCCAGT